CTTTTCTTTTTTTAAAGGGTTTTTAATTAACTTCCTGTTCCAATTGGTGGGAAATGAGTTTTAAGCAGCACATGATTCCAGTAAAGAGGTCAAGCCGGCAATGAGGATGTCAAAAGAAATTAAGTTAGGAATTAAGAAGAGTTCCAGGGGAGAAAAAAAAAACCCAACCCATCGAGGGAGGGAGATGCTGTTGAGGACAAGGCTTTGCTCTCCCCCCCGCCCGGCCGGCCGCCCCCCAAAATGATCCTGACGGCGTTTTTTCACCTCGTTTGGCCCCGAATCGCAGCCTTCCTGGAGACCATCTCACCCCAGGGCAGGCAGCTCTGCTTCCAGAGCCTTTCCCTTCCCCGCCGCGACTCACGTGCGTGATAAAATCAAGCGCCCGCCCACGACGGCTTTGCAGGGTCCGGCCCAAGGAGACTTGAGTGGCCTCTGCTTTGCATCAGCCGTGATGGGCGCTGATTCCATCAGGGCCCGCGTCGTGGGGAGCCGAGGCTCCACTCTGCTGCTTTTGGGGGGGTTCTCCATACCACCACCCCCCCGGGATGACCACGGGCGTTTTGGGGTTGGGGGCCGGTGCAGCGCTGCAGACCCAGCCGGCTCCTCCGGCACATCCGTGGCATCACCCGCTGACACCGCTCACGGCACCCGTGTTATTTACTCCGCACGTTTGCTTACGCCGAGACAATTAGACCAACCGTTTAATTAAATGCAGCACCAATAATTGCAAGGACCTGGGGGGCTGGGGGTGAGCGGATACAAATAGGGCGCCCAAATTTCCTCTCCCCAGAACAGAGCAGGGGGATGTTGGCTATTCCCGACTCTTTATGCTAGAAGCAGCAGTGACAGCATCCTTCGAGGGGCCGAGGGGACAGACCCCGGTTGCTGTCACACCCTCAGGGGGCTGCATCTCACCCCTGCCGTAAGAAGCCAAAAAAGCCTCGACCGAGCCGGTGGGTGCCCAACACCGGCGTGCAACCGTGCCCTGGGGAGGGGAGCCCAGCTACGGGGGGGAAACAGGTTGCAGTCCTTCCCCTTGCACATTCCTTGCCAGCGTCCTTTTAATTAGCTTTTTGGCACCATCTCAAAGCCTCTTAGATCCCCCCAGGCCTGAGAATTTGCAGTCGCATCAAACAACACCGGGCCAAGGGCCGGATCCCCAGCGTGGGGACGTCCCTGAGTCCCGCATCTCCCTGCCCCATCAACCCGCGCATCCCACCCCGCCGTGCGGGGGACCCATGGGTGCCCCTGCGTGGGGACAACCGGCACGGTGCCGGTGACAGCGGCATGGCCGCGTGTTTTTTTTCCCGCCCCCACCGATCCCGTTGTGTTTGCAGAGAGATTGTTATAGGGTAACAGAATAAATAGCGTGTTTTCCTGAGGAGTGAATTACACGCCTGCAGAGCAGAGATAATGTGCGAGCAGCCGTTTCCCCCATTGTGAGCGAGGTGACATCTTTTTATGGAGCTGTGTACATTCGTATTAGTGCCAATTAATCTGGGGTGATATTATTAGAGACGCAGTGAGAGGAGGTGTCGGCGGAGGAATGTAAATGGGAAAAGCTAAGGCGCTGCCTCGGCCATATTTCACGGGTGGGTGGCGGTGATGCTGGGTGCTGCGCTGAGCACCCCGAAGGGGTCTGGGTGCCCACGGGACCACGGGCTGCCCCAGCCGGTGGCACCGTCCGCTGGCACGGCTCTGCCAAGGCTGCAGAAACAGCTATTTCCAGCTGCAGAAAGTCATGTTTTAGGGCTTTTTTTTTTTCTCCTTTTGTCCCAAGAGGGAGGAATGGTATCTCGGTGCCCCTGCCTGCGGGCAGGCCAGCACCCGCCGGGCTGGGTGCTGGGTGTGCTGCGGAGGGGCCCTGCCACCTACCGGCAGGAGAACCTGGCCCCGGGTGCCACTTGTCACCTGCCTGTGGCTCAGCCCCAGGCAGCTGCCACCAACCCCGGGGCCCTCTGCGGTTTGGGCACGGCTTGGGCACGGCTTGGGCACATTTGGGCATGTCCTTCTGCTGCTTGGGCACAGCTTGGGCACGGCTTGGGCACATTTGGGCATGTCCTTCTGCTGCTTGGGCACAGCTTGGGCACGGCTTGGGCACATTTGGGCATGTCCTTCTGCTGCTTGGGCACAGCTTGGGCACGGCTTGGGCACATTTGGGCATGTCCTTCCGCTGCTTGGGCACGGCTTGGGCACGGCTTGGGCATGTCCTGCGCAGGGGTGCTGCTGCGGGATTCGGGGCTCCTGGGAGCTGCGGTGGCAGCAGGAAGGTTTTTGGGTTAAAATAAGTGATGCAAAATGATGCTGGATGCTACTGAAGCCCAGTGGGAGTATGTGGATGAGCGGCCCCCGTGCCCCAAATTCAAGGCTGGGATTTCTCAGTGCTTATTTCGCCCCCCCCCTCCCCCCTTTCTCCCCCTCTAGGGACGATGCTCTAACTCACAAAAGGACTGATCCCCCCGTTCCTGGGGGTCAGGCAGCGAAGCCGGGCTGCAGCTCGAGGGGCATCGCTGCTGGCAGGACGGCAGCCCCCGGGCGGGTGCATCGCTCCTGCGTTATCTCCCTGGCTCCCGCAGCGCTCCCGTCCCCACACCCCGCAGCCGCCCCGGCTCGGGATTTCCCTGCCTGAAGGCAATTCAGCATCAGGGATGCAGGAGCCCGTGGGTGCGTGTGGTCCCCATCATGCACATACGGCCAGGGGGATGTGGGAGCCAGGGTTTAAATTCCTGCTGTGCAGGGAACGGCCAGATTTGACTCAAGAGCAAGGGGAAAAAAAAAAAATT